GTGTAATAAATGTGGAATGGAGTTTGCTTGGAAATTTGGAAACAAACAAAATGATTGTGTTACTCCCGTGATACTTTTTTTTTTTTTTATGGAAACCACATCGAAGTTCACTACGTGTGGTTAGACTTAGAGACGAATTTGTTTTAGTTTAATGATATGTATAGATAAAAAGCTCGATATTTGGGAACTGTTTGTTCTAGATCTAAGCTCCAAAGTTCGCTCCGAAAGATTCGAATATCTTGGAGGTCCGGTGTTGAAAGTTTTCACATTATATATGTAATTCAATGTCAATGCAACTATGTACCCCCCAAAAGTTATATGGTATTAGTATATAGGGAGCTTGCTTATCAAGTTGATTCAAGTCACCGAATATGTTGATATAAGTAAATATATAATATAATTGATTGAAAACACCTTCTATTTTTGTCGTTAATGATTGAAAACACTTTAAATGGTGAGTCTTGTTACTTATATTATCTTCTTACAAAAAAGTAACTGATTATATCGTCTGATTAGAGTCATTATTTGTATAATGATGGACTAACATTTTTTTGAAATATTTAGAAACTTAGTTCGTATTTATAAATTTAATGAATATTTGTATTCTCTGAATTTAATGAATACATGATGCATATTATGAATCTGCAATAATATGACTTGGATCTAAAGGCTTATGATTGTGCTTCATTTTGGGTTTTTTTGTCTAAAACTATTCATTTAATATGTTACCATCATGCGAGAGTAATATATATTAGAGAATTTGGCATGAATAACCAAACAAAAAAAAAATATTTGGCAATCTAACCAAATATAATTTTTTGTTTGGTTATTACACATATTAACCCTATATATATAATAAGATAATCTCATGTTCAATCCCCTTCTAATCCAAAGAAAATTAAATAATTTTCATATTTTAAAAATTGTTTTTTTTTCCTCTCCATTGCGTTTAAGGTTTAGAATGGGCCCTAACATGTTAGGCCCACTAAGCCCAAAATGTCCCTTGTGCTCGTCGGTTTTGAAACACCGACGATAAGACACGGCGGAGCTATGGCTACGGGAAGCCACAATATCATCAAATCCTCTCTGAATTACCCATCGAGTCGATTTAAATGGAAATTCCTTACATTTTTGTTTCATTATTTTCATTTTAACGATGTTTTGTTTTTTTTTTTAATAAAAAAATTGGTGATAAAGTCGGAATCTTTTTCTCTTACTAACTTCCAAGCAGACAAAGAATTGATATGCGTGCAAGTTCTGCTGATCCAAATTTTTGTCCTTTTTCTCTTATTATTGTTACAGACTTTGACATTCACAACAGTCGCAGTCCCACTTATCAGTGATCGATCATAGAGACCAGAGTTTGAGAGAGTTTCTGTTTGGTTTCAATCACTGTCTTCAATGGCTGAACCGGAGGTGATTCACTCATGGTCTGCTCCAAGATCTCTCAGCACCAGCCTCATGTACTCATTTGCTCAGGTAAACCCTACACAACTTGTTTTCATTTTCTTGAGATATGAGTATTAAGCTAAAGAGTATAAAAGCAGATTCTGATACTGGTCGTTTTGGGTCTCTTGAGAAAGTTGAGTTTTAGATTGGTGGGAAATTGAACATTATTGTGATTGGAAGTTACTGAAAAGCTCAAACTCTGTGTTTTGGATCTTTTATCCTCAGCAGTGGAAGAAACTGTTCTCTGTTTATTTGTGGAAAAGCAATAAAAAGTTGGAAAAACTTGAGATCCTTAGGAAGAATCAATTTGGAAATGCTTTGTCTGTTCTATTGTAAATTGATTTTGTGTCCATTTTTTTCAGAGAGATGACATTGAAGTCGTCGATGAGCCGTTGTATGCTCCATTTCTTAAAGCTACAGGTGTGGATAGGCCATACAGAGACGAGGTTCTCTCCAAAATGGTATGTCTATGTATGATTAGGATTTTAGAAACACAAGTTTAATTCTCCATCTCCTATTTTTAATAGGAGTGCAATGGAGATAAGGTTGTGAAAGATATCATATATGGTTCAGGATCAAAGAAGTACCGGTATTGTAAGGTGGAAGCTTGAAGATTCATGTTATCAAACTTTTCTTTTGTCTATTGCTCTAAAAGATAGTGTTTGTTTGATCTGGTCTTTTCTCCAAACAGCATATCTCGAAGCAACGGCTTTTGGGTTTGCCTACTGAACTAATGAGTAAAGGAAAGCATTTCATATTGATTCGCAATCCTCTTAACATATTGGTTAGCATTCTCCTCAAACTCTGGTTCTCAGCTTATACCAATGTCTCATCTCATGTTCTTCTTTGTTTTATCCTTTTTGCAGCCTTCCTTTGAGAAGGTACACCCTCCATCGTTTCTCGAATTAGGCTTGGGGGAATTAGTGTCGATATATAGTGATCTCTGTCAGATGGGAACACCACCAGCAGTCATTGATGCGGATGAGCTTCAGCGAGATCCCGAGGTTTTGTTTCTGTGATACGTAAACAATGTCACAAAGGTGTCATTTCTCTTATACTCTAGTCCTTACATGTTATTCCATTCATATATATATAGACCATTTTACGCGGTCTTTGCGATGATTTGGAGATTCCATTTCAAGCCTCTATGCTTAAGTAAGTTCTCTCCTTGTATCCTCTTTGGGTTTTATCAATGTCAAAGAACTATAATTCTCTTTTGCTTGTTATGTTTTCTTAAGATGGGAGGCTGGTCCTAGACCAGAAGATGGAGTATGGGCACCATGGTGGTACAAGAGTGTGCACGAATCAACGGGTTTCTCATCTTCGAAGAAGTACCCCCGGGTAAGGCTCTAGTTTTTTTACGTTTAACGATTCTGAATTCAGTCTTGAATGGGTTTGGTATTGTTGTTTTCAGACATTTTCTATGTCTCATTACGATTTGCTGGAGCAAAGTCTCCCGCTTTACAACATTCTTAGGAGACATGTGAAGCACAACTCCTCCCTCTTGAGCAGTCCTTTGCCTCCTCCTAGTCTCCCAGTTCCTGAAAACGCAAAACTTCTTGCATGGGTCGGTGACGAGATTTTGCCTCGTGAAATGGCAAAGGTGTGCTTGAAATGTTGCAAAAAACTTTACAACTCACTGTTCTGTGATATGCACTGATTATGTTATTTGTCTTTTAATTCATGTTAAGGTTTCTGTTTTTGACTCGGTTGTACAAGGCGGTGACTCGGTATGGGAAGGACTTCGGATTTACAAGGGGAAGATATTCAAGCTTGAAGAACATCTAGATAGGTATGAACAGTCAACTCCATGAACCAAGAAGCGAGTATATGAGTTTCTTAAGCAATCTTTATATGTTGAAATGTTGGATTAGGATGTTTGATTCAGCAAAGGCTTTGGCTTTCGAAAATGTTCCATCGCGTGAAGAGGTAAACATCTAACGAGCGGTAGTTCTAAGTTGTGTTCTGTAAAAACGACGCTACCACGACAACTTTATTGTGGCAAAACATGCAGATAAGAGAAGCAATCTTCACAACTCTCATAACAAATGGCATGTTTGACAATACACATATCAGGTTATCTCTAACTCGAGGCAAAAAGGTATTACACTTTCTTCGAAACCGATTTATGAAACTTATGTTTTCATTTTTGTCATTTATTCTAAAGAAAACTATGGATCTTGTTTATTTAAGGTAACTTCTGGAATGAGCCCTGCGTTTAATCAATATGGATGTACTCTTATTGGTAAGCTTTCACCTTTATCATAACAACTCAAGAGTGGGGAAAAAATGATTACTTTGAGTTCGATCTACATGAAAATTTTGTTTTCGTTCTTTCAAATAATGCAGTGCTTGCGGAATGGAAACCTCCGGTTTATGACAATGATGGTGGAATTGTGTTGGTGACTGCAACTACACGACGCAATTCGCCCAATGTATGAATTTGGATCTACCATTTCTCTTCATGATATACCTTTAAAAAGTCTTTATCTGTAAACTTGTTCGAATTCTTATATTTGTCAGAATTTGGATTCCAAGATTCATCACAACAACCTTCTCAATAACATACTAGCAAAGGTACTGTCTTCAAAACAAGAAAGCTCAAGAAGCGACATGTTTTGTGAGATTAATTTTCTTTGTAATGGAAAAAAAAAACAGATTGAAAGTAACAATGCGAATGCTGCGGATGCAATTATGCTTGACAAGGATGGCTACGTGTCTGAAACCAATGCAACCAACATTGTAAGTAAGCCTTTGATGATTCATCCACAGGCTTTTGCATCGAAATTCGATAGATTTTGAGAGACTAGAGAAACTCGGGTTATTTTAACATATTAACTTTCTCTAATACATACAGTTTATGGTGAAGAAGGGCTGTGTTCTTACGCCTCACGCAGATTACTGTCTCCCTGGCATAACCAGAGCTACTGTAAGAGAGAAACTCACATTCCTTTGTTCAGAATTTATTTAAACCATTATATTCTATTATCTTCCTTCAAATCTTTCTTTCAAGGTCATGGAACTTGTGGTTAAAGAGAACTTCATCTTAGAAGAACGAAGAATCAGTCTCTCAGAGTTCCATACAGCTGATGAGGTTTTTCACCAAGAAATTATCATATTTTGGGGCGTCAAATCGAGTTTATCCGTGCCTCTTTCTTTCTTTAGCAAAACCTTATAATGTTTTTTAAAATTCAGGTATGGACAACGGGAACTATGGGAGAACTAAGTCCGGTATGTACATTCTTTAGTAGCTGACGGATAAAACATCCTCAGTCGTTCTGTAAACCTGAATCTATTGACATTCTCTAACTGAAAAAAAAACAGTGGCTTTGTAGAAAAGGATTCTTGATGATCTTTACTAAACAATGGGAAAATTGATCTTTAATATCTATCTATGTGTTCTTTTGTGATAGGTTGTGAAAATCGATGGTCGGGTGATTGGTGACGGAAAAGTTGGGCCGGTCACGAGAACGTTACAAAACGCTTACAAGAAACTCACGGAGGATTCAGGTGTGCCGATACCTACATACCAAGAGATACAAAAATGAGGTAACCAAAAGTTTCTGATAATATATGCATCTATCTGAGAAAGTAGTATATCAAACTTTTTTTGGTTGTTATGATTGATGATTCAATAATAATTAGCTTTAGCAAATGCAAGAGTAGATTAAAAAAAAAAAATGCATTCAACTTTCACATGATTCACTTGGGCTTTATACTGTTTAGCTAGGATTTCAACTTTAATAAGAAAAGAAGAGAAAAAAAGCATATTAAGCTTTCACATGATTCATTTGGTTTTGAGGAAAAAAAGTTTTTTTTCTTTTTCTTTTCAGGGGATATCAGGATTGTATTAGTCTTCCCTACGGTTGTTTCTTCTTACTTGTTGGTCTTGGGAAACAAACGGCAAGTAGTTTATGCGTGGTGATGGAGAACAGTGTGCAGTTACGCTTCTCGAGGGGGTGGTAAGAACTAAGAAGTGCGTGCTGTTTTACTTCTTGAAAGAGTCAACATACTATTAAAGTCAGCGTTTCTTGTTTGACCCAACGTCAAAAGTATGACCATATATATAAAGCCACCAGCGTATCGAGCGTTGATTCTTTTTCGTTTAAATAAATATATCAAATTTATTTTGATAAAAAAACATAAAGAGCATTGTAATTGCAATTTGCAGCTATAATCTAAATGTTATAAAAAATAAAATTAAAAAGTAGGGGTCGAGGAAAGCGAACAAAAAAAGACCATTATTAACAATATAAGATTTTTGCCATTTCGTATTTTCGGAGTTCATCATTCAAGTGAAGGATTGGAGAGAATAAACGAAACAATAATCAACAATTAAAAGTGAAAAATATGGTGTCGATGCATCAGCTTTATGAATTAAACACGCTTTCATATTTAATGAATAATATGTTAAATCCAAGGTTGAAATATGCCGACCAAATTCATGGTTTAAATTCATTAAACACGCTTCCATATTTGCATGTTGTTGGAAAAAAACGATGAACGAAAGAAAAAAAAAAACTAGTGAACATTTTTTTGTCGTCAGAGGTGAGAGGTCAGACTAATAGTACTGAACGTAAAACTAGTGAACATTCATCTTGGAATGCCTATTTAAACCCATGTCGTATAAATTTATGAAATCAAGAACAATTATAATAGAATGTTGATAGGTTTTGAAGATTCTCTAAGGGGTCCAACGTTTTCGCTAAAGTGTTTGTTTAATGGGGACCGAATAATAATCATTCCAA